GCAGGAACTGTGGCATGGGAAAGTAGCTTGTCCAAGGTAAGACAGGTGATGAGGGCAGGTGTAGACAGGGTATCTAAAGGTACTGACTGTGTCTCCCCTTCAGCTCTCAGCAAGCCTAGACAGAGCCAGAGCCCAAGGGCTGTCTGCCTCTGGAAAGGCAAAGAACCACCCACAGTTCCTATCCTTAAGGAGACAAGAATGCACAGTGCCACTAGTCAGATCCACCCACACCTGGGAAGGCACTCTGACCCCACTTCGGACCTAGAAGTCAAGCCAAGAGCAAGAGCAGCATGATTCCCAGTTTGGCTTTCCAAGTATGAAACAAGAAAACTGCCAAAGACCAAGCCCTGGCTACTAACCAAAATGCCAAGAGGTCTATTAGTAAGTTGACAAATTTTCACGCATTCTCCCATGCTGCTACACCAATTTCAAACCAGGGCTAAAATACATAAACCAACCACAATCACACATTGCATAACAATGTCTCAGTCAATACAAGGCTACAACAGTAGTTCATAAGATTAAAGCACCAAGTGACATGGTAGCTAACTCAGTTGATGAAGGTATACGCTATGATGTTTGTAGGACACGTCACCCAACAACCTGCTTCTCAGAATGTCTCCCTTTAAGTGACACAAAGGTGTACTTAAAAGGTCCAAGAGTGGGCTGGGGATATAGCTGAGGTGATAGACTTCTTGCCTCACATGCACAAGGCCCTGGGTTCAATCCCCAGCACCACAAAAAAAAAAAAAAAAAAAAAAGGTCCAAGAACACTATGAAATCGGGCAGGGACTAGAAGGGAGTTATCTCCAAAAAGAGGGCTACACAGGTAAGATATGTTTGTACAAACAACTGGAGCCCAAATAAAAAGTCACAATCACCCCCAGCTTAAAGAGTCGGACAATGGAGTTTGGGAAGGTAGGGCATACTACAGAGTGAGAAGCAATTCAGAAAGGAGGTAGCTGAGATGGTGAAGCAACACTTTCAAAATCCTGAGAGACAGCCATCCATTTAGAACTCTTTTTTTTTTTTCTAAATTTTTTAATATTTATTTTTTAGTTTTCGGTGGACACAACATCTTTATTTTACTTTTATGTGGCGCTGAGGATCGAACCCAGCACCCCGCACATGCCAGGCGAGCACACTATCGCTTGAGCTACATCCCCAGCCCCATCTAGAATTCTATACCCAGATAAACTAAAAGGTAACTGAAGAGTAAAATAAACATGTTTTTGAAATCAAGAACAAAAAAAAAATCTATGTGGTATTTCTTGGGTATCAAAAGACTAGAACTTCAGCAAAATGATGAGTGAGCCAAGTCAGAGAAGAGGAATCCAGGAAAGAGACCCAACACGGAGGAAAAGAGCACAGGGCAACCCCAGGTGACAGGTGGGCAAAGGTCTCCAAGAAATCAGGACAGACTGCAACAGGAAGGGTCTCCCAGCAACACAAGCAGTGGGTGGCTAGTGTGGGGATATGAGGAAAACCAGCTCTGACAGATCAGTGCTAGCAACACACACGCACAGGGCTATGTGCAAAGAAAACTGTGCTCCAGGGTCCTGCTCCGCTCAGGAATGAGCAGTCCTTAAGACTCATGAAGATGTGGGTGATGGTGGCTAACTTCACCAAAAGAGGTGATATGATACAGATGGGACACAGGGGAAAGGAGGGTGGGCAGAGAGCTAATGTTTCCTTCCACCTGTGAGAGGAAGCAAAAGATAAGTCTCAAGTAAATTCTACAAGGGCAGCTCGAACCCCAGGAGATATCAAAGGACAGAACAGCATCTCTGGGGGCTGGGGCAAGTGACACAGAACAATAACATTTGATTTTCAATCCAAGAACTTAGCTTTCTGCCAAGTGTCCTGCAAAGAAAACCCAAATTGCTGCTCAGTGACACACAGAAAGCAGAAAAATATATGTAAGTGGCATGTAGCGTGTGCCTGTCCTCAGTGTGTACCTCTCAAGACTGCATGAATGAGGAGAAAGATGGGGAAGGGAGCACATCGGAACACCCCCAAGAGTACAGGGTTGGGGACAGCAGGGCCATGGAAAAGGAAAGAGGAAAAAAAAATAGAAAGGCCATACCGCGTGCTCCTTTCTCATTCCTTTAACAGCAGACCTTAAAAAATACAGGGAAAGGGCCTCCAACCAGGGCTCCTGCCCAGAGCCCACACCAGCACCTCCATGGATGACTCTGGGGAGCTTCTGAAATAGTGCTCCCTGAAAATCATAGGTCAAGTTGCACATGCCAGGGGAAAGAGCTCATTTTTGAAGGAAGAGGATTGTTTTCATCAGCTTGCCAAAGGAGACGGTCCCTGCCACATCCCAAAAGAGCAGTCAGATCACTGCAGGGACCCTCACAGTTGGAACTCGCGTCCCAAACAAGGTTTATCTTCCTAAGACACCAGTTTCCAAGAAGGATCCAGCTTCCCCTCAAGGGCAGGGCAGTGCAGGTGTGGCAGGGCCCTTGGCAGACCCATCCAATCTGAGGAAAGCAAGTGAGACCATGCACCCTCCACACAGAAGAGGGAAAACCACAGGAACATTCAAAATGGCATCAGGAGCGATGAGTGGGGCTAAACAGGAGCCTTAAAGATACCCAGGTCCTTGGGCTGGGGTTGTGGCTCAATGGCAGAGCACTTGCCTAACAAGCGTGAGGCCCTGGGTTCAATCCACATAAAAATAAATACATATAATATATAAAAGTGGTTATTAAAAAAAGATACCCAGGTCCTGATTCCCTGAGACTGTGAATGTTCCCTCTTAGGACAACAGAGACCTTGCAAATGGGAATAAATTAAGGATCCTAAGATGGCGAGTGGATCCTATATTATCCAGTTGTCCTAAATGCAATCCCAGCATCCTGACAGGACCAAGGCAGAGGGAAAGCAAAAAACAGAAGAGAAGGCCACGTGACACAAAGCAGCCATGAGCCCAGAAATGAGGCCAGCCTCCAGCCATGAAGAGGAAAACAGAGGGGTTCTCCCAGAGCCAGGGGAAGTGCCTGGGAGACAAGCTCCGACTTCTGGCCAACAAGTTTCTGTTGTTTTAAGCAACTAAGTCTGTGGTGCTTTACTATAGCAACAGCAAACTAATTCAAGTGCTAATTACAAAGTAAACAAAATGTTTACAGGAATTCCACAAATTCAAATGAAGCGCAAAACTTCCAAGCCTGCACCATGTTGTGTGCGCCAGCTGCCCAGAAAGCTCCAGGTAACTTAACAACTAACCTGTACAGCGCTTCTCTCTCAGCACAACGCTTTGCTTGGCCCACTCCAGATGACCAATAAACCAATAAAAATAAAAAACAATGGATCAGAAACCCACAGCCCCAACCTTCCCAGGAGATAAGCTGAGACTTTCCTTCCTTCCTTACTCTGAGAGCTGAGACTCAGCACAGCCTTGACTCCCTCAATCTCCACCTCCAGATTTCCCATAGGTCCCTGCCTATGGCAGCCAGGCTTGCTGGGACCCAGCCAACGCCTCCAGGCCTCTGTCTCCAGGACCACACCGTCCCAACATCCAGCGCCACAGCCTCTCATGCTGGCAACAGCCCCTTCCTCTATGAGACCCTACTCTAAAATAGAGGGCAAAAAGTGAGCCAGCCCCGCCCCTGGATCCCCTCCCCTACAGCCTGCAGGACCCAGGCAGTGCCTCCCTCATCACCTGCTGACCCTCCCCATGACAATGCACCTTGGCACCCTCTGGCACCAACCCTTGCCCTCTCCCAACCCCCCACACCTCCAGCCCAAGTCAGGAGCCTTTCCTCATCCCTGGGTTTTGCCCACCTCACGGCCCTGTCTTGCCTGCCTCTGCTCCTCTGTCACAGAAGCCTCCCTGCTTGTCTTCAGTCACTTAGGCTACAGTCTGAACCTGGCTGAGAGTAGGTTCCAGCCTCAAGAGATATCACAGCAAAGTCTGGACTTGCAGCTTTCAAAGAAGACCAGGGGCAGAGGTTATGGCTCAGTGGTAGAGCACTCCCCTAGCAAGTGTAAGGGGTTCGATCCTCAGCACCACATAGAAATAAATAAATAAATAAGATGGGGATATTGTGTCCAACTACAACTAAAAATATATATATATATAAAAAAAAAAAAGAAGACCCAGACCCACATGCACCCGCCCTCACCATCCACAGGTGTGTAGGGACACCTGCCCCACTGACCCTGCCTAAGCCCTGCCCCTCAGTCAGCATGGCTTCTCCATTTGAAGTGCTCCTAAAACTCAGGTCCTGTGTCAGCCCTGTGCACCTGATATCCTTCATCTAGTCCACCAAACCACTGGGAAAGGTGCACATTTTTATTCCAATTTTTCAGGGGGAGAAAGCTCCCAATGTTTCTAAAGATGTAAACACAGTCTCTCCAGTTTAGAATCAGTTTTGCCCTCCCCACATCACTTCTGGGTACAAGTCTCAACTCCCTTCAGGGTTTCCAAGACTTTTCTTAAGGTGGTCTCCTGCCATCAGCCACCCTCCTTAGGCACCACAGCCTGCCCTGTGCATGTGCCTCTTCTCTGTGAATTGCCAGCCAACTGCCTGCCACTGCCTGCCCGGGAAGGAAGCCCAGCCACAGAGCCCTAAGGTGCTGCTATGAAAATAACTGACAGGACCATGCTGCAGGTGGGACAGAGCCTCCCAACCCTGGAGCAGCCCCACAAGCAGGCCAAAGAGGAAATGGAGGTACACAAGAGCTGACCACCAGCCCAAGGGCACATCCTGGGCAAATTGGCCAGGAAGGTGAGAGGCCAGATGGTCCAAAAGTGGGCCAGCTCCCCAACTACACTCCAAAAGTCTGAGACTGACTCTGTGTCTACTCCACAACTCTGAGCCCCCTCTGTCTACACTCCACAACTTTCTGTCTGCACTACCCCACTCTGAGCCCCTTCTCACTGCACTGCCCCACTCTGAGCCTGCACTTTCCCACCACTCTGAGCCCCCTCTGCCACACGGCCGCACTGAGCCCCTCGGTGCACGCCGCAGTCCCCAGCCTCGACGGCTGACCTGCGTTCCTGCAGTGCACTTGCAGAGTTGGGTCCCTGGAGACGGCCGCTGCCCAAACAATGCGGCCGCCCGCTAAGTCCGACGAGACTCCGGACCGGACCCCAGCGCTGAAGCCCGGCCAGCTTCCGGGCCGCGTTCCACCCCGCACGGCCCAGTCCCGGTCCCCCGCCCCCGGCCGGGCCCCAACTCGGAAGCGCTCCCTGTCGGGCCGGCGGGACCCCCTGCTGAGGCCCGCGGCCGCCGCCCCGGCCCCGCGCGCCCCGGGCCGCGCGAGTTCCCGGAGGCGCGGGAACAAAGGAGGCGCGGGCGGCGGCTCAGGAACAGCCGGGTGGGCGGCGGCGGGGACCAGGCGCGCGCCGCGGAAGACAGCAGGGCGGAGGCGGCGCGCCGGCCCACACCTACCGGGCCGCGCCGCTCGCTGCCGCTCGGGCGCCGGGCCGAACGCGCCAACGGTCGCCGCCGCGAGGGGCGGGGCTCCGGAGGGCGGGGCTGGCCGGGTGGGGCTCCGGGGAGGCGGGGCTCCAGAGAGGGGCGGGGCTCCGGGACAGGCCAGTGGGAGGGGCACGAGGGGCGGGGCGATGAGGGGTGGAGCTCCGGGACGGGGAGCCCTCAGGAGGTGGGGGCGGGGCTGGAGCAGACGGGAAGCCGGACCACAAGGGGCGGGGTCAGAGGGAAGAGCCCGCGAGGCGGGGCGGGGCCTCTGGGTCGGGGCGGGACTTCCGCCGCGCGGAGGCGGAGCGCTTGTCCCGGCGCGGAGCGGTCACCTCCCCGGCCTCCCGCCCGCTGCCGCGGTGTTCTCCGCCCCGACGCGCGCTCCGGCGACTCCAGGAATGCCTTTAGTTTTCAGTGAGGGCAGTGAGATGGGAATTGTGGGTCTTTACGGCCAGAAGCGCGGCGATGACCACGTCCTTCGGGCGGCAGGGCGAGGCTGGGTGCGCCCCCCGGGGAGGGGCAGCTCTGGGTTGGGGTGCTCCTGCCCGGGCCGCCAGAACCTCTGGGGCTGCGGGCCGCCTTTCTCTACGCCGGGTTCTCCGCCCTCTGCCCTGACCTGTCCAGATCATCGTGGCCTTATTCACCCCAAAGAGATCTTAAGGGAAAGTGAGCCCAGGACTGTGACGGTGCCCCTGGTCCCTCTGCTTGTCCTCTTCCTCCACTATCACAGTTTCTTTAGAAATTCTGTTCCCATTTAGTTGTAGTGACTGCTCAAAGTATTTTCAAAAATTTTCAGTCCACTGGGCCTTTTACTGCAATATCTAAATATGGGGGGAAATCGAGCCTAGGAATCCCCAGTGGCTGGGTTCTGATCTTTTCAGTTTGGCAAACAGCATTCCACCCTGGCTAGATAGAGCCTCCTGGGCTGCATATTAAATCATCATCACCAATGCACAGCCATGACTCTCAGCCCCTCTGACTGTATACAATTAATGAGTGTAAGTCAGGTTTCATATTCCCCTTCTGTGCTTCCAGAATGACCACCAGGCTCTGCAAATGCCTGGCTTCTTGTCAGTGTGCATCTCGCACATCAGCCTTGAGTTTCCACAAGTCATGCCGTACTGGCAGATATACTGGCCATGGTGTGCTCTGCCAAGCACTGAGGCACTGGGGCCAACTAACTGTCCAAAGCAGAACCCAGTCTGTGCCCTGAAACCTGAGGGGAGGGGCAGGAAAGCAGGTTGGCAGCACCCCACCCCACCAGCCCCTTCCTGGTTGTGTCACCAGCCACCTCCCACCTCTCCTGAAACTCTCCAGCCTGTCTCAGCCATCTCCTTTGACCTTGCTAGGCCAGGATACCTTTTTCATTCTCTTGCTTCCTTTGGCCAGTGCCCACCTCTCTGTGCCTTCCTTCTTGCCCTCATCTCTTTATCTTCTGCCTTTTCTCTTCCCCACTCACTGCTTGTCCACTCTCCAAATCTGCATCCTACCCCAAACACTCAGTGCAGGCCTCTCCTGTTTCCTTCCTCTTTCAAGTGTGTCATCTGCCTCATTTGGCTTAAATATCCATATATGTGTCTTTTCTCTCTCTCTCTGTCTTCCCATGGCCACCTGCCTGTCCTTGAGCCCTGGACATAGAAACAGTCCCCTGCATGCTGTTATCTGTCCTGGACACCATCATTTCCCACATTGCTGGGCTGCTCAGAGTGACTCACATTGTTGAGCAGAAGGCCAGGAAACTTGGGACGGCTCAAGGGGACAGCCACCTTTGTGTTTAACCTGTCTAGCTTATCAGACAGGGATTTCAGAGTTGGGGCAGTGACATAGGTATGAAATGACTTTGCAAAGACTCCTTTTGTTGCTGGGATGAGGTGCAGGCGGGAGGCGGTATAAGGAGCTGAATGGCAGCCCTTAAAGCCTGGGCACACTGATGACTAGAGTAGACAGCCACCTTGACCTGGACGGAGGGAGGGCTCAGGACACAGGGATGAGAAGCATCAAGGTGGACTTACAGGCAGCCTGGAACCCCCCACTGGAGTAACTTGGAGGTCTCAGATGTCACTGCATCCCCACTAGGTCAGCAGGGTACTCAGACCTGCCCTGCCTGGCGCAGCCCACTCTGCTTTCCCTCCAGGAGGGGTCCCATTTGAGCAATGAGGTATGGCCACCTGACACAAAGAAACGTTCTCTGAGGAGGACATTGGGCTACGTGAAATAAGCTAGTCACAAAACGCCAAAACGGCATGACTGCCCTTTCCTGGAGCACTCGGCCGAGCGCTGTGCCGAGTGAAGCAAGCCAGGCACAGAAGGACAAGTTACACGTGACCTTACTCATGGAATCCTGGAGAGGAACTTGGAGAGAGCTGAGTGTGCTGCCCAGGGCTGGACAGGGATGGCTGTGTGTCTGTCACACAGGCACTGGTTTCTTGTGCTACTGGAACTTAGCTGCTTGGTGGCCTAGTCCCTGCAAGTGGCCCAGGAGGTGACTCAGAGCACTGGGCCCTTCTTCTTGCCCCTTATGTGGGGAATGACATGCACAAATCTCTGGCATGTGAGTCTCGGCACCTGGGGTCTCAGGCATGTGGCCAATGCCAAGCTGCACGACCTCAGAGCCACTGCCTTCATTTAAATCCTCATTCTGCCCCAACTAGGGGGTTGGCTAGGCTCTGCCTCAGTTTCCTCACCTCTAAAGCAGAAGAAGAAATAGCACCCCAAGGTGTGCAGCTGTCGTGAGAGCCCAGTACACGTGTCCTCAGTGCTGGGCACACGGACGCACTGTGCAGGATGAGCACTTGTCCAGCCACATGACCAGTGAGGCCCACACCTGGGCCCCTGCAGCACCAAGGCTGTGCCTGGCGCCCACACTATCCCTGGGATGAGGTGGCTGGGGACACTCAGGGCCTTCTGCACCCGCCTGGGCATGTGCAGGATAGGGATTCGCTTAACACCCAGCTGGAGCCTCAGGCAGTGGCAGCCCTGATGGCAGGAGGTGGCTTCTTTACACTGGGGCTTCTTCATCTCTCCTCGTCTTCCTGAAGGGCTCACAGAAGAGCCCCAGCAGTGTTGGAGACCCCGCTGCTCTGGTCACCCAGACCCTTGAAGCAGAAAGCAGAATAGAAAAGATCCCCTGGCGGTCCCCTGTGTAGCCAAGCTTGGGACCCCAGGTAGCTGGTGTGGCCAAGTGGGGAGGCCAGTCCCTCCTGCAGTCCCTCACACCTCCACCCTGGCCCTGCTCTTTGAGCACCAGTTAGGCCATCCCGGGCTCCCCCACCACTGCACTGCCAAGCCAGCTGGGCCCCAGCTCTGCCCTACAGCATGGCTACTTCCCTGAGTCTCCCCATCAGTCCAGGCCATGCCACCCCCAGCCCCTGACAGCATTCTGTCCCCACCCTGCTCAACCATCTTCTCCCTCCCTGCCCCCACTCTTTTTGGAGTCCTTAGCCAGCACCCTAGCTCCAACCTGGCCTGCAGGACACTCAGGAAATCACATCCCTGCTGCCTCCAGCTCAACCCCCACCTGCTCCCATCGCCTCCCTGCACCTGCAGGGTTGGTGGTCCCCAACCTCAGCCTGAGGCCTCGCGCCCCTCCCAGTGCCCGTCTGCAGCCACTGACGGCTCTGGCCACCTCTGGAGAAGCTCATGGAGTAGCGAGCAGGGCTTGGCTGGCTCACAGAGTGCCCAAGCACCTTCAAGGTGGGTACGTCAGGATCAGCCAGCTTTACAACAAGGGCTGCAACTGAGAGCAGGGGTGTGCCTTGAGCAGGGGTTCAGCCCACCCTGAGAGGGGGCTGGAATGTGGCTCCTTAGCTGAGGCAACCCCTGAGATGACCCGTATCCTCAACAGGGGCCATGGGGGGGGGGCCTCAAGGACCCCGCTGTCCCTACCTGTGCCATATCTCTATTCCCACAGCCTGCAGGGAGAAGTCCAGGTCCCCAGGTGCCTCCACAGAAGTGGAGAGGAGCAGATCTCCAGAGCCCTGCAGCCTCTGTCCTCAGTGATGTCAGATGACAAGATCCCCATGAAGTCAGTTTAGAGATCGGATTGCTTTTCACCCCTGCCTCCTAGTGCTGGGGATGGAACCAGGGACCACACACACCAAGCATTTGCTCTTCCCCAGACGGAGGCTGTGAGAGCTGCAGGTTGTAAGCCCAGGAGACTTGTCCAGGCAAGGCCACCACAGACGCCCCTCAGGCAGTGCCTCTGAGCCATGGGGGTGTTGCCTGATATCCCAGCATGCATCCCACCCTGGCCTTGCTGCAGGCCTGAGCCTCCTCCCCAGAGGGGCTGCAGGGCTGCCCAGGCCCCGGGGGCCACCCTGCTCCAGGTGCCCAGGATTCGGAATGAGGCAAAGGAGGTGGTCTCCAGCTCCAGACCCAACCCCACTCTTCCTGTTGCATTGGACTAACCAGCACGTTGCCCGTTCTTTCTTGCCCGTGCCACGGTTGGAACGCCCCCCCACACACACACAGGGCAGCAGCCTGTCCTCTGGCGGTGCCAGGGAAAACAAATGGGCCTTGTCCTCGGGCTCAGGACGTCCAGGGCGAAGGGTGCAGCAAGGCCACACAGAGTCAGAGGCGAGAGGCGAGAGCGTGGTGCCGCCCACACCTGCCCTCTGGAGTCCTATCCCAGCCCCCACCTGCCCAGTACCCCTTGTCCCCACATCCACTCACTCCCAGACAGCTCTCCACCAGAGCACTGGGGGCGAGCAAGCCAGGGCAGAAGGCTC